GGGACAGGACAGAGGCGGGCAGGTGGATGGCTGTGCACAAGGTCCCTGTTTACCCAGAGGCGGCCGTGGGCTGCAGGCGGCTGCCTACAGCTAAGAGGGGGAGCACCATCCACTCCCCTCGCTCTCCTGGGTAGGTGTGCCTCCCTGGTGCCATCCTGCAGAGTGGTTTTGCCCCACCCCATCACACTTTGTTACCTTTGTGCGCCTTCCCCAGACCACAGCTGGGGCTGACTCCAGGGCCCCCCTGGCAGCGTTGGGCATGGGGATGGGCAGCACCATCTTCTGAGTGTGGTCTCACATTGCTGCACACTCAGCTGGGCCTGGCGTTCTGCCATTACCATGGGGTCCGGGGCAGCCCCAAGGCAGGAGGAGATGCCCTCAATGTCCAGAGGTTCATAGGAGATTATGGGGAAGCCTCAGGCTGCCAGCAGCAGGGATTCCTAAAGATAGGCAAGTTTGCAAAGACCACCTGGGGCCATCTGAGCCTGGCCTCAGGGCCCCCTGGGTTGTCCAGGTGGAATAGGCAGAGGAATGACCCCAGAGATGTCATATCCCAGTCTCTGGTACTATGGGTGTGACCTGCCACATAGCAAAAGGGACTGCAGATGGAGGTAAGGGCAATGTCTTTAGGACTGGAGATGGTCCAGGACTTTTAGGGGGGCCCAGGTTGCCACCAGGCCCCCAGGAAGTGGATGAAGCAGGCAGCAGAGGCAGGAAGATTGGAAATGTGTGAGGGACCGAGCCATCACCACTAATTTAAAGACAAAGTGGCCACCAGCCAATGCCAAGGCCACTGGAACATGAGGACAGCCCCAGCCCCAACCAGCAGGAAGAACATCCTTCCTGCAACCGCAAGGACCTGAATTTGGCAACAACCTGAGAAAGTGGAAGCAGACTGGCCCAGAGCCTCCACGTGTGGGCACAGCCTAATGACACCGTGATGTGGCCTGTGTCTGGGCCCTGGGCCCACAGAGCCACCTTCTCGGCACAGGACTGGTTTAAATGGACCACATGGCCACCCTCGAACATCTCACCATCAGCATTCCAGACCGTCACTTCCTGTGAGGTCAGGAGCCGTGTCTAGCCATAATGTTCCTTGGGGTTTGGTGAAAACGACTTCTTTTTTATTTGTGATAAGACTGTATTATATTGCCTTATTTATTTTTAATCTTGTACAGTACTCATGTACAAACAGTAGGGCCATTCAGATAGCTTCTCTCTGAATCATTTATTTTGAGATGCTCTGTGAATACGCACCGGTGGCGGTGCCGCCTGCTCACTCGTACCAAAAATGAAGACGAGCCCGACCCCCTGCGGCCCCGCCTGGCGCTGCCACGGCCCTTTGGAAACCACTCTGTGTTCCCTTTGTGCCCTTGCATGCCTCCTGAACCTGAGCTGTAGACTAGAACACAGCCCCGGAATGCTTCCAGACCCTTTGACAGACCGCGCCGACCCCGGCCGGCCCACTGCTGTGGCATGGGTCCTGCAGGTGGACGCCCTGCAGACCCTGCACTCAGCGTTGCCAGCCCGTGCTTCTCAGACTAAAACCACCAGGGCTTCCGGAACACCGCCATAGAAGCAATAACCCCAAGTTCACACTGCAGAGATGAATTAGCCAGAGCAACTCGGTCACTCAGAGCCAAGCCATGCCCACGTGTTTGCCCAGTGCCATAGGCAGGGTAGGGGGTTGCCACTCCCAGCACCCCGCCTTTCCTTTCCTCATTCCAGTGGTGAGCAGACAGAGCCAGTGTCAGTCCTTGCCACACCATGGTCTCCACGCCCCTACTTGGGAGGGAAGGTGGGAGACAAGGGCACCCAGCCTCCAGGTTCTGTTCAGATCCATGAATCTATGCGGTCTCATGCCAGCCCCAGCAGTGAGCTGCAGGTCTGGCCTGGCAGAATGTTAAAGGATAGCATTCCAGGGGCTGCCTGTGGTAGGCCCTTCCAAGGAAATGCTAGCACACTGAAGGCTGATCCCCTTGCCTTTCTGGCATAAGGGGAGCTCTCTGGACAGGATGCCCATCCAGGATTGGGGTCCCATGTAGGGTGACCTCGGGGTAGGAGGTTAATCTCAGTGACTCAGGCCTCACGGTGGGCTTGGGGTTGACAGAGAGGTCAGAGATGTGTTACTCAAGGAACTTAGAGACCCCAGGTAGCCATTGGCACTCAGATCACTCCATACCCCATGTTCGTTGGAACCAGAGCTGACAGGCTGTGCTAGGTATTCATAGGTGGCAAAATATGAAGGCTTTGACCTGTACCCAGCCTGAGCCCAAGGCTGCGGGCTGGAGCCAGGAGGCTCCAGTGTAGGTTTGAGGGTGGGGCCCGAGGGTCTGAGGCTGCCCGGTGGCCGGGAAGGCCCCATTTGGCTCAGTGTTAGGCAGGATCTCCTGGTTGTGATTCTGCATAGATGGATTTGGGTGCTAGGGATGGTCAAGCACTGGTATTTGTGATGGATGCAGTGCCGGGGGCTTACACCTGGAAGGATCAGGTATTTTGAGCACCTCCCCAAACAGACACGGGCTGGGGCTTGGAACCCTGCAGGTGCTGTGTTTGGTTGTATCCTGCCTTGTCCTCCCGTTCGGTCACACATCTGTGGAAGGAAGACCATGTGATAGGATGTGAGGGGGTTGGCACTCCCATGGCCTGTCCATGCATACTCCAGTCCAGGCCCGGATGCCACATTTGAGACCAGACCAGACTTCCCTAGACAACAGGCTGGCATGTGGACTCACTCACACAGTGATAAAAGTCCCTGAAGTTTAATCCATTCTGTCCCATATCAAATCTGCTCAGTATCCTAGAAAAAATCATTTAATCACTAGAGGCCATGCTTGCTTCAAGTCCATGTGTGTGCCTGTGCATGTGTGTTGGACCTCCTTTGTGTGATCTGTGAGTTTGTCTACACTAATAACCACAGAGGAGAGCGTTGTGGCTGTCCTGTCTAGTTGACATACGTCTCCTGTGGGCTCTTGGGTGTGACCATGGCCCAAGAAAACACTAGTTCCCAGTACCAAATCTGGCTTTACAGTAATGAGGCTCCTTCCCTGTGCTTTACCTTATTCTCCTTCAGATAGCCTCTGGAGAGAGGTTTTGTAATCCTTAGGGTGTCAGTGAAGAGGCTGAGGCCCCGAGAGGTTATAGACTTGCGCACAGTCACACAGCCCCGAGGGGTAGGCCTGGGATGTTCCCTCTGCTTTATCGAGTCCCAAGCCCTCATGTTTTCCATTACAGGTAGTGCCTCTTTGCTTACATCTGCAAAAATGTGCTGATTTAGCTTGTCCACACCAAGTGCCCACCGTGGGAGAGGGGACACTCAGGCAAGTGGGCTCTGAGCACACCTTGGGCTGACTCTAGGCAGGCAAGGCTTGCTGACCTCACGTGCTTTGCTGCAAGTGTTTCTAAATCAAAATGCAGGTCCTCTGGCTGAGCCGTATTCCTGCTCACTTGACTTCCCCGCCGTGGAAGTCAAATGTCGGCCTAAAAATCCCTTCTTTGCCGTATCATCCTTTATACCCTAAAACCATGTCAGCACAGTCCATCCTGGTGTCTAAGAAGATGCAGGAGTTCCTTAAACCAGGAGGATCGTTGGTCTCTTTTTCTTTAAGGGCTGACATCAAATAGGAAGAAAACCAGGACACTCACAGGCACACCCAGACTGTACACTGCTGTCCCAGAAGCACTGAGCCCTCCCAGGTTTGCAGTTCCTGTCAGCAATTCTTTGAGCGAAGGGAAGGCTGCTGGGCGAGGTTGCAGTTCTGCTCTCCTCTCACTCCACCTTGGAGCCATTCAGTGTTACTGTGTTACTGCCGACAGGGTATCGGCGGGGCTGGGTGCCTTTCTGGGGCTTACAGAACACTGGAAGAGCAGATTTTCTAGGAGTACTCAGAAGACAAGAAAGGGATTACAATCATGGTAGGACATTTGGTGACTGCCAGAGTACATGAGCCCCAACCATCCCCTGGTAATTGGTTCTGGCCGGTTCCAGGCAGCCCAGACTTAAGGGGGTTGGTTTCCTGATCAGTGCGAGTCACTTACTGAGAACTGATGCTTAAACAGAGATGCTACCCTAGACTAACTCCCAAGACATCTACCAAATCTCTTGGGCTTGGGAAACCCCGTGCCAGACCTTCTGCAGGAACAGTTGCCTGGAGGGTCCTGCCCGGGGCATCTCCTGCCCACCACGTGTGCATGTGTGGCGGACATGGCCGAATCCGTGTCTCACCTCCCACCAGCAACCCTTATTCAACCCGGCCCCAGGCACACGAAGCACAAGACTCAGGGGACCATTTGCACGTTGTGGGGATCCGAGAAAGCCCACAGCCACCGCCTCCTATGCTGGGGGTGTTCATACAGCTGCCCCCGCCCCGGGAGCACATAACCCAGTGCGGGAGAGACAGCTAAAAACCGTTAAAACCACATATATGCAAGCCATTTGCACTCTGGAATTGCATGCCGTGGGTTCCTAGCGAGTGGGACTTAGTCTGAATTCAAAGTCACACAGCATGCACACATGGCAGGCCCGGCCCACACCCTCAGGGCCTCTGCCCACCTTCCCCCCAAGCCACAGGCAGTCCGTGGAGCCTGAGCTTTGTGTCGCACGTGCACTTACTATGCCCTGTCTCCCTTTAGCCGAGCCGCCCTTCCCCCACCACCCTCGCCCACCATCTCCAACCACTCGCCAAGTTGCACAAATGAAAATA